CATGCTCCAGTGTATTTCCAGCTAGAACCAGCATTTGAAGTCAGATCCCTAGATCATTCTCAGCTCATTACAGTTTGAGAAGTACTGCTACAGCCAGCCCACTTTCTTCACAAGCAGACAATGGAAGCTCAACCAAGACTGATGATTGGCATTCAATCCCTAAGACCAACTATTCCCAAAAGTTAGACTGTCTTCTATATGTGCTGTGGCATGTGTAGGGTAAAGGGGACAAGGACTTGACCCCAAGCCCAGAGTCAAGAAATAGTATCACACCAATCCCAGAGCTTGCCCCAAGATTAGGCCACAAAAACTCACCAATCCCAGGTCACCCCAGAAAACTCTACCCACCAAGAAGTACTATATAAACCTTGTATTCTGCTCAGTTCCCTGCCACTTCTTGCCTGAGCAGAGGCAGCCACCCTCTTGGAGTTTTCCCTCCCAATGAATCTCTTGTGTGAGGTTTGTGGTGCAGTGTGACTTTCGATTGCTAGGATATCTTTCCTTTCAGAGCTATAACGCTTGAGGTGGGGGAACCATCCCCTGCGGGAGCAGAGCTGTTACACTTCTGTTGGGGAAGCCTTTCCCTTAGAACTGCAATACTTATAGCATGCACTTGTGCAAGAATAAGCAGAACAAGCAAGCAAATATATGAAAAGTTTGAGATCCTGAAACTAGGGCTGTTTTAAGTAGACAAAAAAAGATGTGAGAGGTGGCTCAGCAGTTAAAAGCCCCAGTTACTCTTCCAGAGGATCCAAGTTGCAAGTTCCCAGCACCCATGCTGGGCTGTTTACAACTGTCTGTAACCCCAGCTCCAAAGGATCCAATGCTCTCCTCTGGCCTCTGTGGGCCCCTGCATACATGTAACATGTCTTCTCACACACATGCACACATGCACGTATGTATGTATTTTTAAGTCCGGAGCCAGGCATAGTGGTGCATGCCTAGTGTCCCACCATCTGGGAGGTAAAGACAGATCACAAGTTCAAGGTCAGCCTTGAACAAAGTGGTCTGAGGCAAGCCTGGGCTATGAGTGTAAGCTCCTCAAGAAGGCACAAGGGTCGCCAGGCCCCTCCCCTGAGTACCTCCAACCACCAGGTTCCACCCACAGGACACTCTAACTGCCCCAACAGCTGGACCCAGCCCCTGATCTACAGAGTAATAAGCCCAAGCTCTGGATTTGAAATCCCACCAGTTCTCACACTGGAAATCCTTCCACCCCCACCCTGGAATCTTATATAAACCCTGTCTTCTGCTCAGTTCTCTGCTGCTTCTTTACTGAGCAGAGGCAGCCACCCTCTGGATTCTTCCTCCCAATCAATCTCTTGTGTGAGGTTTGCTGTACAGTGTGACTTTGTGGTATTCCTTGGCTCCTGACTGCCAGGATACCTTGCCCCTCAGAGCTGTAACACAATGGGACCCTGCTCAAAAAAAAAAAAAAAAAAAAAAAAAAACCCAAAAAAAAAAAAAAAAAAAAAAAAAAGCCAAAGATAGAAGAGAGAACAAGAGGGGTCATTACAAAGAGGGCCAAAAATCACTAGTGTAAGAAGCTGAGACTCTGGTGATTCTGGAAATGAAAGAAAAATATTCTATTGACATTTGCGAAGCACAAAATGTTCAATAATGATTTTCTCACATAAACTTCCCTTTGTCCCTGGATTAATAGCAACAAAAGCCACATGATTTGCTCTGAAAAACAAAAGGCTCTTTATGTTCTTTAGAAGTTCTCTTCACAAACATGGCCTGGCCAGAGTTTTCTCTATGAGCTGGAGATCAGAGGGCCTGACTTGGAAAGGACTGTCTCCTCAGGGGTGTGACCACTCCTCCTGGAATAGACCAAGTGCCAAAGGACGTGGCCTTTTACTTGAGACAGCTTCTGGGAACAGTTTCTTCTGAACACGAGCAAGCCCTGAGGAGGAGTTTGACAATGTAGCTATAAAAGAAGCACATTGTACTATACAGAATGCCCTAGTTTAAGTCAATTAAAGTCTTGTTTGTTTGTTTTTAGACAGGGTCTCATGTAGCTCATGCTGGCTTCAAAAAAACTAAGTGGCTAAAGATCACCCTGAATTCCCAAGTCTCCTTCCTCCAGCTCCAAGGGCAAGGGTTATAGGCATTTACCACACCTGACTCCCAGGTGACGCTATTTATGAATTTATATTGCTATGAGTATAAAAAGAAAACATTTCAGAATACTGTTAGAGCAAGGAAATGGCATATATGTACATAAAACCAGGTAAACATTTATGCTAGCTTGCTCTACATATGAGTCCTGGGCTATAGAATAGAGACCCTGTTTCAAAAAGAAAAGGAACCTTGAATTCTAGGGCAATCCAAGAATGACTTATTTCTTTCCAAAGGTCCACTTATGCAGACTTTAAGCTAAGTGTAACAAGGAACTCACTTTTTCGGCGACTGGCCATATCCACCACCAGAAGAAGCTGTTTCATGGGGCAGGTGGGGAGGTAAGTGCTCTACCCCATTCCCCCAGGCCAAGACTCCACTATGCCCCAGAAAAGGCAAATGGACAGAACTGTCAGGGATTCCACTGGCACCTAGGGGACACAGACATTCTATTCTTATGTAGTCATAGACAGTCCAAGAGACCTTCTTTAGAAATGGACTCTGAATATTTAGATGGGAGCTGAACTTCATCACTAATAATGTTCTGCTCAGTTGGGATGATGATGTTGTCCGACCTGACCTTGAATTTATTTCTCTAACATATTTGAGATTAAAGTTGCTATCAGTGACTTCTCAGGCATTTGCTGCTTGGATTAGATTTTAAATAATGCCAAAGAGATGACTGGAATACTCATTTCAGTTTGGTCAAAAGAATCTTTTCTTGCCAGAATTACCAAGTCTTTCACACATCACTACTATTTAACACACATGTTCACAGTCATCCTTTGTGTGTGCAGGCCAGAGAGCAGCCTCCAGCTCCATTTCTCAGAAGCCATTCACCTTGATTTTTCAGACAGGATTTTCTGATGGCCTAAAGCTCACCGGAGTAGACAGTCAGGGTGAACAGTCAGCCCATCTTGGCTCCCTCCATGCTGCATCATAAGCATAAGCCCCTATGCTTAGCTTTTCCATGTGAGTGCTGGGATCAAAGTCAGGTCCTTGGATAGCACCTCGACAGTTGAGCCACTGCCCCAGCCCTTTCATGGCAATTTTAATAAATTCAATCTAAGTGAGCATGGAGGCTCATGCCTGCAGCCTAGCACTTGGGAGCTGAGGCAGATGGATGGCTGCAAGTTCTTGGCTAGACAGGGATTCATTGCAAGACCCTGCTCAATATCCGCCCCCACAAACAAACGACCACCTCCCACCGCACCTCACCCCCAAACACCATTAAAAACCCTTTACACAGACGTGGTGGTGTCCGCCTTTCATCCCACCACTTGGGAGGCAGAAACAGGCTGATCCGTGAATTCAAGGCCAGCCTGGTCTACAGAGCAAGTTCCAGGACAGTAAAAGCTGTTACACAGAGAAACCCTGTCTCAAAAACAAGCAACCAACCAAACAAGGGATTTTTTTTCTCATAACCAGAAGAATTTCTTTAAAAATAAGCTACATACAATGTCATAGGCTTCCAGACACTTGGAAGGCTAAAGCAGAAGAGATCCTAAATTCAAGGCCTGCCAGAGCTATGGTACATTCAAGGACAGCCTGGTTAACTCAGTGAGACCTTATCTCAAAATTAAATGTAAAAAAAAAAATAGGGCTCAGAGCACAGCCTAGAGGTATGAATAGAGTTAAATATATAGTTCAGGGATCTAGAAAACAAGATCCCCAGCTTCTTCCAGAGCTCTCCATTTGTAATCATTTCAAAATTTATTTTTAAAATTGTTTCTTTATTTTTTTATTTTTATTTTTATTTTATTTATTATTTTTTTGGTTTTTCGAGACAGGGTTTCTCTGTGTAGCTTTGGAGCCTATCCTGGCACTGGATCTGGAGACCAGGCTGGCCTTGAACTCACAGAGATCAGCCTGCCTCTGCCTAAATTGTTTCTTTATTTTTACATTTCATCTGTTATACATGTGGAGGAGACACTTCCATAGAAGTCAGAAGACAACTTATGTGTTTAATTTCTCCTTCTGTCCTGTGGGTTCTAGGTTCAAACTCAGCTCATCAGACTTGATAGTACGTGCCTTATCCACTCAGCCATTTTGTCAGCTCAAAATCCTATTCTTTTTTTTCCCCTAGAAAGCCAGTTTTTATTTCTAAAACTTCGTAAAAAAATTTTTTTGGACTTTTTTGAGATATCATCTTGGAATACCATATCATTACCATACCATAATCAGCTTGGAAAGGCTTATAATTATATTCTAAAACAAAGAAGGACTAATGGGGAGAGCCCATCCCACGTGAAGGGATGCACTCCTACCCTGGACACATGGGGAAGGGCCCAGGCCCAGCCCAAGATGATGTGATGGACTTTGCCTGGGGAGTGGAGGGTGGATGGTGTGGGGGGCAGGTTGGGGTGGGGTAGAAGGGGTGATGGTGAGGGGAGGGAGAGGGATAAGGGATTGACAGGTGAAACAAACTTGTTCCTAATTTGAACTAAAAAAAAAAAGGACTAATGGGTAACCCTGGAAGGTCAAGTCAGCTGGAGCAAGTGTAGAGAGCTGCCCGGCAGGAGGAACCAGCACTGAGGTTCTGTGCTAGGACCCACGTTCTGCATAAACCTCTAGAAACACGGGTTGGTGTGGGGGGTGCAGCTAGTTGTGTTTTTTTTCCATTGAACTCAAAAGCCACTTTGCTGGGCTTGGGCTGTATGTAGTTCAACTGGTAGAGTGCTTGCCCTGCATACATGAAACCCCATGTCCATGTCCCATCTCCTGTACTGCATACAGCAGGCGTGGTGGCCTGTTTCTGTAATCTCAGAACTCAAGAACTAAAGTGGGAGGACTGAGGTTAGGGGGGGCTACAAAACAAGAGCCTGCCTCATAAACAAAACCAAAACAATTTGTTGCTGCAAACCAACTAAACCAAACCGTGCTACTAAGATCTTTTTATTTGCAAGACAGAGGTCACGCCTGAAGTTAGCATGGATATAAGGGCTCTGCTACCAGCCAGGAGACGTGCAGTACCAATTCAGCATGGAGCAGATGTCTTCGTCTTCCGCTGGAGGCACAGCCATTTGGTTGGCACTTCATAAGAAGATCTCTGCACCTGGTCTTCATCATAAGGTATGTGCCAGGAATCGCCAGTTGTCTGCACCACTGTGTCATAGCTGAAAGTATGCTGATGGGTTAAAGAGAGCCAACAGTGAGAACAACAAAGGTGCCCTGTCAACACTGGATTTCCTTCCTTCCTTCCTTCCTTCCTTCCTTCCTTCCTTCCTTCCTTCCTTCCTTCCTTCCTTCCTTCCTTCCTTCCTACCTTCCTTGCTTCTACCACTTTCCACATTATTCCATTGAGGCAGGCGCTCTTCCTGAATGGAGAGCTCCTGGTTTTTTTGTTTTGTTTTTGGTGTGTGTGTGTGTGTGTGTGTTAGGTTGGCAGCTAGCAAGTGTAAACAAGTCTATCTCTTCCGTGTAAACAAGTCTATCTCTACCCCGCACACTACTCCTGAGGCTACTGGCATGCGCAAGAACATACTCAGCTTATAATGTGGGCACAGGGATGAAAACTCAGCAAGCACTAACCATTCAGCCGTCTCTCCAGACCCCACAACAATAAACAAAAATAATGTAAAAGGGGAGTTTCATTATAAGGTTAAGGACTCTCTATAGGAGTGTCATATTTACAAGTTATAGGATTGTTAAATTGTGAGAAGAGAAAAATCAAATATTGAAAGTAGAAAAATAGCTCTCTCAAGATTACCTTGAAGTGAATCTTAGATGTGTACTTCTAAAAAGTGGTATTTTATTTTGTAATTCTAAGATCAACGTTATTACTAGCCTTTCCCCAGCACAGACATCAGACAGGAATGGTGCCAGAGAACCCAGGAATCCCAGCCCAGGAGGCTGAGCCAGGAGGGTTATGAGGCCAGCCTGGACTCTTTGAGAGTTTCAGGCCAGACAGGGATACATGGTGAGAGCTTGTTTGATTAAAATACATATATGCATGCATGTATTAAATAATATATGTACACATGCATACATACATCAGACTCATCAACAATTCCTCACCTCATCAAATCTCTACTGTTCACATTCCCCCATTACTACACATTATACATATATTTTTAGTTTCTTTGTTAAATGGGAAGTAAAATAGGGCTATTGCTTTCTGAGGGACTGGACTACTCATAATTATCCTTTTATCTAGAGCTTCCCTTCCCATCTCTATTTTCACTGAACTTGCATTTTTCCTTTTTGTTGTTGCTTCTGAGGAAACTGGGTCAGTTGCTTTGGATCATTTCCCTTAATAAAGTCCTGATTTTGCTTATTTATTAATTGCTGTGATGTCACAGGGTACTCTTTGCTAAACATTTGCTTTGCATTTTAGTTTATTTTTAAAATTAATAAACTTAACTGGATGGCGGTGGCGTATACCTTTAATCCCGGCACTTGAGAGGCAGAGGCAGGTGGATCTCTGTGGGTTTGAGGCCAGCCTGGTCTACAGAGTTAGTTCCAAGACAGGCTCCAAGGTTACACAGAAAAACCCTATCTGAAAGTAACAACAATAATAATAAACTTATTTATAGTACTGTGTATAATATGTTTTGAAATATACTACATTGTGGAATGGCTACTCAAGCTATTTAATGTGAGTTACCAATTTTTTAATGAGACAACCTAGAATCTACTCTCTTAGTAGTCTTCAGGAATGTAACACATGTGCTGGAGATGGCACAGTGGTACTGATCCAGCAGAGGACCAGAATTTGTTTACCAGGACCCACATTGGGTGGCTCACAACTGCCCGTAACACCTGTTCCAGGGATCCAATACCTTCTTGCCTCCTTGGGCACCAGCACTGATATTCACACACCCACACAGACACATAATTAAAAATGAAAAAAAGAATACAATATATTATTAGCTGGGCCTGGCAAATAAAGTAGGAGGATTGTAAAGTCAAGATCTATTTGTGTACAGTGTGTTCAAAGCTAGCCTGTTGCAAAATAAAAAGTAAAAACTGGGCTGGGGATGCAGTTCAGTGGTAGAGGACTTGCCTAATATATGCAAGGCTTTGAGTTCAGTCTCTAATACCACATACACACACACACACACACACACACACACACACACACACACACACACGGAATACAATAAACTGTTATTAATTATAGTCACAGCACATTGTACAATGGATTTCTTAGACTTATTTCCGCTTCCTAGATGAAGCTTGGTATACTGGACCAAAATCTTACCTCCCCTCCCCAGTGTACAGGCCACTATATCTTCCTGAAATAATTCTCCTTTGGATTTTCTTCCTTTGTTTTAATATCAGAGGCATCCCTATGCTATGGGCGTCTACACTAGAATCAAAGGGCATGGGGGTGTAGACCTGTGATGACTTGGGAAGCGGAGATAGGATGACTGACATTTCAGGCCAGCCTGGTCTACATGGCAGGGCTACATAAACAGACCGTGAGCAAGATGCCTTGAAAGATGCCTTAACTACAAAGGCTCATCCAAAGTCAATGATGTAGAAAGTTTGGAATGTTACAAGTCCAGGGCCAGATTCTCCTGGGCCATCTTCAACCCTCTTGGTCACCGTCCTCTGAATGCTACCTAACTTCTTTGTCACAGAATGTACAAACAGACCCCCTAGCTTCCACCAAACAAAAATAACAGCTGAAGTGCCCCTGCTTTCTGTAACCTACCCCTCCCTGATGTTTCTACTGAAGTATTTGAAGTGTCTTGATTTCTGATTTTCTTTGTTTTGCTCTGTTATGATAAAACTGTTACCATATTAAAACAAATTCTGAGATAATTAAGTCTTTGTTCTTGGGCCATGGTCATTCATATTTGGCCTCCAAATAAACTATGTCTTTATTCTCTTGGAGATAAGAGTTGTGCTTTTGTGTCAATGAGCCCCTGACTTTAAATAAAATAAACTAGGTCTGGAGAGATGGCTCATGGGGTGAAAGTGCTTGGTGCCAAATTTGGGGTGAACATGGCAGAAAGAGAGCTGACTCCTGACAGTTGTCTTTCAAGTAAACAGGAAGATGGAAACACAGAGTGTCTAAGTATAGATGACGGCACTGCTTCAGGCACAGTCACTCAATACTCCAGGTATTTTAATCTGTCAATCAATTTGGGGCTGGCCTAGGAATACTTTTGCTCTGACAGATGCTGTTTCTAGGAGCTAACTAACTACCAAACTAAAACAAAAATGAAGTATTTAGAAATTTCAACATTTTAAGAACTTGTGCCACCCTCTTTCTTTAGACAAGGCTCTGTCAGCATCACTTAAGAGCAGACCCCATACCTGGAAAGCCAGCTTTGATCTCTGAAGACAATTCATGATTGTCAGCTGATGTCCCTGCTGCCACTTAAAGAAGAGGTGCCGGGTATGCGCATCAGGTAGGCAGGCCTTGTGGTCCCGCATCAGATCTTTCGTGATAAACTTGCAGTGATTGCCTGAGTTCAGGGTGGCGTAGAGCAGGAATGGATCATCCTTCGATCTGCAGCAGACAGGAGGAGGAGCATAGTTAGAAAAGGCAGGGGGCAGAGGGCTTTCCCTCCACCCATTTACTCATGACGTTCCTTGGAGGTGCCAATGACTCTTGACAGAAGTGATCTGCTTGATCCACATAAAGCACCTGGAGTCCTTAGTTGGTGATACTATCTAAAACACAATGGAAAGCTGATGGGAAGGGACTGCTAATGCCTAGGACTTAAAAAAACTTTCAGGTCAGCTTGGGGTAGAGTTGTTACTTTATCAAAAAACAAAAACAAAAACCCTAAAAACCCACAGGAGTTTTATATGGAAGAAGAGCTTAAAAACCCATAGGATAGAAGTTTTATATGGAAGCAGATGAGCAGATTGTTAGAGCAGGGTCACGTTTACATGAGGGATTACACAGACTCACTACACTGTTCTCTGTTTTATGTTCGAAAAGGTTTGTTTGGTACATTAATGGAGAATATAAGTTAACATTAAAAGCATAAATATTTAAATCCTGAGACACAGGAAACTAGTGAGTCAATCTTTATAACAGAGCTTAGAATTTCAGCAGTTGCAGTTAGGTACAGGCCAAAGTACAGGCCCCAAAGTAGGCAGCAAGACCAATTCCCAAGAGACTTCTGGGCTACAGCACATGATTTATTTTCTATAAGAAAAATAACGACGATGGTGATGAACACAACTCTTCTCTCATTCACCCCCCATAGCAACCTCATGAAGATTATACATGAAGTAAATACCTTGCCAGGTGGGAAATGGCAGGTGTATGATCTGAAATAATACTCCTAATGCTTACCAACTCTGCAGGAGGGACAACATCAAGAGTATCAGGTCTTTCGATTCTGAAGCAACAGAAATGCCTCCTCTCAGCTTAAACAAGTGATTCGGTTTGTGATTTGAGTGAGGAATTGGCCTCCTGCGTCATGCATCAAGAGCCATTTTACCCTTTTAAGACTAAATTCTCTGCGGGACCCTGACAAACCTTGAAGTTCTCCCTTCTGAACTAATGAGTGCTAGACTTAGTGCTGAGGCACACACACATTGCAAAGTGACAGCCAGGCAAGGTTGCAAATAAATGCTTGCCAGCAGAAGCAATAGGAAAACCTGAGCACACTGAGGGTTTGTGCGTGCGGTCCAGGCCAGTCACCTTCCTGTATTGCTGCTTTCTGTTTGAGAACTGCACATTGTGTTACTAATTGCGTTTCCCATGTTCCTTTGGCTTCCTGGGAAGCTATAGCTCAATAGCAATTTTCTCTCTATTAGAATAAATACAGCCAGGCGGTGGTGGCGCATGCCTTTAATCCCAGCACTCAGGAGGCAGAAGCAGTCATATCTCTGTGAGTTCCAGGCCAGCCTGGTCTACAGAGCCAGTGTCAGGACAGGCTCCAAAGCTACACATTGAAACTCTGTCTCAAAAAACAAAAGCAAAACAAAACAAAACAAAAGAATAAATCAGACCCTTTGTGTGGTCTTCTATAATATGGTCTTTCCTTTTCCTTCCCTTCCCCCTTGCCTTCCCTCCTTTCTTTCCCCCTTTTCTAGACAGGGTCTCATATATCCCAGGATGGCCTCTGGATAGCAGAGGATGCTCTTGAACTCCTGATCTTCCTGCTTCTACCTCACAGGGCTAAGATCACAGGTGATACCAGCACCACTGGTTTCATGTGAGGCTGGGGATGGAACTCAGAGCTTCCTGCATGCCAGGCAAGTTTTCTACCCACTGAATTGCACCCCAGCCCCCAAAGATTACTTCCTGGTCGCTGTTCTAACCCATCCACGCTGGCCTTCTTCTTTTACCAGTGTCCAGCTTATTCCTATGCCAGGGAGTTGGGGTCTCTGCTGCCCCTGTGTGAGGGAGGAGCACTGTGAGGTGAGGTATCCTTCCCACCACTCCCATTTCAAACGGCACTCATCACTGGCTACAGTGAGGCTATCTGGTGGCTTGTTTCTGTAAGGACTAAAAGGGCAAGGGGCTTTGTTGTCGGCACTGAGAACAAACACTGTGTTCGGATTTGTTGAGTGTCTGCTCAGTGATCAGTTTAGGACTGTATGTTGTTTATTGTAAATGCC